GCAAATTTCATCTTAGTTTCATTCTAATATCATTATACGTTTTGTATGATCCATGTTAATTGCATATTATTTTCTTGCGGAAACAAGAACCTCAAACACTTGGAGTAACATCGAAGTGGTAATAAAATGTGCAATGCACATAAAACATACAGTAAGTCAATATTTAATATTTCAAAACGCTCGAAACGCGAGCAACCCTATCGTAAATGAAGGCAATAACGAGACTGCACGGTAGCTCATTGTAACACGTAATTTGGAAATGTCTTTATTACCGGAAAGTAGGACGGTATTGAATTCTTAGAAATCATTTTAACGTAAAGGGACTTTGAATTAGGTGCAATTATACGCGCGCCGAATACATCATTGTCCGAATATTTCAAAAGGGGTTATTAGGAATTTCCCACATTTTGAAAGAAGCATTTTAGCCGCCCAAAGAAATTAATATACCATGAATAAAGAAAGTCCTTATTGAGGGCGGAACACTTGTGACATTATTTACAGGACAAAAAGAAAAGACAATGTGTTGTACTTCCAAGTGTTTATCACTGATGAGTACTTACAGAGTCATTACTATAGCATAAAGTTTCGGGAAATAACAGAATATAGTGGTAATGATGGTAGCTATAAAATTAAATCCTCTAATGCCTCTTTTATTTCAGTCAATCATCGTATAATTAATTAGTAATGTAATCGAGGGTCCAAAACTTTTTGTCTACACCTTTATTTCACATATAAGATAAAATTTAAATGTAAAAAGTTGTTGTATTTTACATGTATTCATTTACAAAGCGAAGATCTAATACAAAAAACACTTTGTTATAAAATTAAATATATGGTAATATCAGGAGAAAAATAATTTTATCATATAAATAATTTTTTTAACGTTGAATCTATAAACTACATATACATTTAAGTAGACCATATTGCTTAGAAAATATAAACTTTATAACTAAACATAATCATCACAGACTTTTAACAGACCCTAGCAAACTAAACAAGTTCACGATAAATTTGTTGAATACGTGAATTAAATATTAAATTTGTTAGGAGTAATATGTTACAAATATAGAAGTATACTATAGTCCACTAAATACTGACTTGAAAATTCATTCGCCCTAGAATATATTATGAACTGTAGTATTTGAGTAGATATTTATATAAATTGATGCATGAATATTAGTATTACAGATATTTATGCAATAATTTTAGTTAACATGCATTTACTCTAATTATAAAAGAAAACACTACATCTATAATAACTACAACTAATCATTTCTATTTCTCAGAGGTGTTAATGGTTTAAGTGGGGATGAAACAGGTGTAGTATGTGCATTCTTCGAAACACCTATTACATTTTCCTTCCCTTTGTTATGCATACGTTTTTCTTCCATTTTCAATTTTTCAATAGTTTTCTGTTGTTGTTCTATCTTCTTCGCCTTGACATGTAAATCCTATAACAATACATACAGTAATTTATTTATTGGACTTCTAAGATTACTAATGTATTGATGTCTGAAAAAAATGAACACTATTTTTTCATAAAACAGTCATTTATTTACATGGCTAGTAGTTTCTTTCTTCAATAAATATTTCCTTGCACTCTGTATAAAATATATTCATGAGAAACATTACTAATATAAGCACTAAAAAACATGATGTGCAAAATAAAAGTGTTGGATAAAAACATGAACTATGAACATAACATGAAATAAAATTTTCAGGAAATAATATATAAACATATATTATTTGAAATATTAATCATATCGCGGAAACAACTTTACGAGAAACCATATCCAGTACAAATTGATTGCAAATCCGAATAAGGCAATCAAACACACCTGCTCCAATTGGTTAATTTTATCTTTTAACTGAGACACGTGCTTGATTCTTTGCCTATGATTCTGATGACCAATTAGCTCAGCATATTTTTTGCTAATTTCTTGATGATCCTTCGTAAGACGCGCGTTATGTTCAAGGATTTTTTTGACTTCCCTAAAGTAGTAAAGAAATACACAATCGTGTTATTTAAAGAATCGAATTAATAAAATAGATAACTTGTATTATAAAAACTTACTCTTCGGCTGTTTCTCGTCGAACTTTTTCTTCTTCAAATGCTTCAGTTTTATCTTGTGCAACGCCATCCATCTTCTCGAGAGCCTTAATCGTATTTGAAAGTTCTTGAATTCTTTTATTTACCTAAAAACATTAAAAATACATAAATATACATAGATACACTTATGCTTTTCTCACATAATATAAAGAAGTTACATTTTTATGAAAATATACCTCATCTATAGCAGCTTTATGTTTGATAGATTGTGTATCCAGCAACTGATTAGTCTCTTCCACAGCTAAATTACTTTTCTTCAATTGTTCATTAAGCTTACAACTGAGCAAATTCGCTCGTGAAATTTCGAGCTCCTGAGCATCATTCCTTTCTTCTAATTCTAGCAACATATCTTGTGCTCCATTGAGATGATTAGCCATTTCATGAAGTTGATTTTTCATCTAATGTTTCAAGTTGAAGAACACTTAAATCAATCCTTAATGATTTGATAAATATATTTATGATATGAAAGAAGTGGAAGTACCTCGATATTTTGAGCGTCTTTTGCTTCACAATCGGCTTGCAATTTCGTTACTTCTTTCGACACTATTTGTCGTAAGTCTTCAATTTTGGCTTCAAAAATCGACCTGATTGCTTCAACTTCGCTTAAACTTTCAACTTCCAGTTGATTAACCAATCCTTTCTTAACGTCTAACTGTTCCATTAACGCATGCACTTGTACATGTACCATTTGTGAATTGTTGCGCATAATGTTTAATAAATTCCGATGCTCGTTTATGCAGTCTTCTCCGCGTTTCAATTCACGTTGCAGTCTTTCTACTTCAGCGTTACTTTGAGCTAAACGTTTAGCTAAGGCGGCAACTGAAGCTTGATTTTCAGCCATTATGACTTCAAATCTAGAGAGCAATTGAAAATTTATAATCTGTATTTAAATAACAGTATGTATACAAGAATAGCAAATTATACCTTTTTCTTCTCGCCACCATTTCCGCTGCTTCCGCTCTAATCTGATCCTTCAGAGCCCTCAGCTCTTCTTTCTTCTCTGCTAATTCAGTCTCTGCTCGATCTAGCTCCATTTGCAAACTCTGCCCGAAGCTCTCCTGTATTTTGCATAGTATTTCATTAAAGACGATGTTATTAATTTCACATTTATTTTGATTGTAAATCTCTTATTGTAATGTCAATTACTTGGGTTTCAGCAGATGTCTTCAGATCTTCAAGGATTACTGAAAGTCTAGTAATTTCAGTATCTTTCTGTACTAACTTTTCATCCAATTCCGCCCGTTCTTTTTCTACTCGAACTAGACATGTTTTATACCTTTCCGCGGTAAGTCGCATGTCTTCTTCCACAGCAATCGTTGCTTCTCTGATCATTGCGTTTATCTGTCATTGAGTATCTTACATTAAAAATTAATTGCAGATACTCTTAAGATTAAAACACTGAGCAAACATCACAGTGGAAAGTATAAATTGAAGAAATAACGAGAAAACAAGATGCGCTGTTATAAATAAAACACTTTTGAGTATATCGTAATTTTCCGATGTCTCAAAATTCTTCCTGGTAGATATTTAGAAAACAGTACTCAAGTGACGTATGCATTTTATGCACATAAGATTCGCTTACTTTCTTGTCGCTGTCAGCAATCGTTTTCCTCAATCGTTCTTCACATTCAGCTATTTGATCAGTCAAACTACTAATGCATGAATTTAAATCAGACTTTTCTTGTTCTAACGAACTAACTTCCTGTTTATGAGTTTCGTTTAATTTCTCCAACTTCATTACCAACTTTTCAATCTTTGTTTCCAGCATCTGAACCTTTGAACAAAAATCAAGCGATTAAAATCAATTTGTAATGATTTCAAGAATAAATTTTGTTAACATTAGTGTCACATTACTTTTTCCTTGTTGGCCTGTTTCTTCATTTCCAATTCAGACTCTAATATGGTTATGCTTTTCGTTAAATCCTCGATCCGATTCCTAAGATCGCCCTCCATAGTTTTTCTAGCCCGAATTTCATCTTCCTTCTCCTCCGAAATTTCTAAAAATTGGCAACGAAGGTTCTCCATTTCCGCTTGGTGCTGCTCATCGTAATTATTTAACACTTCCAGCTGCAACGTAGCCTAGCAATGAAATGTTAAATTAAACATCTTGCATAAGATACTTGCATTTTCTGTAGTTTAAAAAAAATTACTTCCCTACCATTGTTTCTATGTCTTTTCTATACTGATCATCCACTTCCGTTTGCTTTCTACGTAACTCTTCCAATTGTGACTCCAGATTCCGCTGTCCTTCCTTCATTTCCTCCATATGTTTCTCGTGTTCTTGTATAGTTTTATTTTTGTTTTCGCATTCTATTTGAAGATCAGCGAGCTGGTGTTCTGATTTATATTTTAACTTGCTATCGCAAGACGAAACGAGCGCGCGGAGCTTCGTCTTTGAGCACGGTCTTGTAGTAATTTTCGTCCGCGGAGGTTGTGGCTGCGGAGAAACAAAATCTCATTTAGCTTACTGTAATCTACACTGTTGTATTGTCCCAAAATTTCAGTACTCTTGACAATTTTAATTTCATCAGCCAAAAGATTCGAAGCGTTTATCAGATATTTCGATTGTGCGCTAAAATTTGTTTTCTTATTTCGAAATTAAAATAATGCTAGTAATCATTAAATTTAAGTTAATTTTTTTTATTTATCGAGGAAATTGCCCAATATTCTTAATTCAAAAAGTGATTCCAAACTTTTGATTGATACTATACATTACAAATCTAAAAAGAAATACTTTTTTAATCCTCACCGTGCTGAAAATCGCTACTACATTACCAGTACTTTTGCTAGAAATTGATAAACTGCATTCCGCACTGACCGCGCTTTTGTTATCGTTAAATCTCCCCGATTTTTCCATCACTGACCCTTTGACCTTAACATCGAATTTTGGGTCGTACGTTCCTGGCGGAGGGACGTTGTCTGTAAAATGATTCTTTTTACAGTAAATTTCAGTAATCTTTCTTAAAATACTACTATAAAATAAAATTATCAAATAAAAATATATACAATACAATTTTGTTTGGACTTTAGACATTATAGATAGAAAAATAAATGCACGGCGGGGGAGGGGTGAAAGAATTCTTGTCCGACGGGTATTTATGTGAAAAGCAGGCACGAATGGGGAGGGGAGAGGTTTTTAAATGCAAGGGGCAAAGCATGGGAAACTTTATTCACTTCGTACTACACCATCCGGACGATTACGTCTCCATAGGTTCATAGAATTACCAGGTGCACCCTGTAACGGTCCCACAGCCCCTTTTTGCAGGGTTCCGTAACGAAATTGACCCTACATACTATTTCCTTTTACACCACCCTCCTCCCTACTTCTTACAGTCTTGTGCAATATTTAAATGCCCTTGAATATTATTTTACATCTCCTACTTCAGTTTTACATTCTTTTATTGTTCTACATAAACCTTCATTTTTTTCGAATAGAGATTAATACATTGTAAAAATAGTATAAAAACAAATATATATAAAATAAGAAATACTGATACACAAAAAATATGAAAAATATACTTGGAATGTGTATAAAAATATATTTTCAATTCATTATTCGGAATAAAAAAATCGTGTATGAACATTCAGTAACAAATAAACTGCAATCGTTAGTCTGACAATATTTTATTCTATATTTTAACGTCTACAAAATGATGTGTTATAATAATCATAACAAAGTTGAAACCTCAACTGTGCTGTATGTACAGTGAAGTTGCAATCATCGATACTTTCTATTAACAAATTTCTATTAACAAGAATTTTGATTTGATAATTTATTTTAAGACACAGATGAAATGTTCCCGCTAAAACATCCTGAGTAAAAAATATCACGTCATAAAGTTTGATGCACGATGTCCCAAAATGAACCAAGAAGTAATAAGAATGGCAACAATATTATTACTACATAATGTTCATTTGAAAAAATCTTAGATACACAGTAAAAAGATGCAGTAAACGTAACACTGGGCACTTACTTTTAAATTCGTTGAATCTCTGGATCTTGGCTTTTGAAAACGACATTGTAAAATATTTAAATTAAAAACAAAACAAAACTGTTAATAAAAAGCAACGCTGAGAACAAGTTACAGGTAAGACGTTTAACGGATAAATTTGAAAATAAACCTAGTTGGCGAAGGGAGTTACACGTCTCCACCCATCGAATTCTAAACCTCGACTGCGAACAACTGCGAAGCAACGAATGGCCATTTCTTTGCTTACCCTCCGCAGTCCGCAGTCGGATTCAGACGTTTCTTCATGCGCAACGATGTACCGGTTTTTCTCATTTGAAACGACGGTTAGTCAAGTTCAACATGGACGCCACAACGAATCAATGGCTCCCGTTACGCAACGAACCAATCCGGGACAAATGACAAACCTTCACAGCAAGTACCGTAATAATTCTCATAATCGCTATTTATTTAAAGTTTTAAATTACATGATTATATACATATATAAATTATATGTGTATGATTATATAAATATCCTGGATTAATGAAACTCATACTCACGCTAAGGAAATTAACTAACACAGATCTGCAAGGAATATAATCGCAATAATGTCATAGACATGTTTTTTAATTACTGCAACAGCTACAATCTTTCGGATATCATAAAACAATCTGTAACCGCATATAATAATACATATGACTGCTTATACAACTTCAGTATACAATACAATGTTGCTATAATGAAATAACTGAGAAAGAATAGAAAAGTACATAAAAAATGGGAGATAATAAATTAAAATGTATGACAGGAGAACCCAGAACAAATAGACTAAGCTGTTATTCAACCTGTTGTAACAATTTTACCAGCATGAAATTTTTTAGTTTCTAATCACAATTTTTTGTAACTCAGAAATAAAATATGGTACGCTCTTCACAGGTCACGAGACAAAAAGGAAATCGTTTTCCCGCGCGATATTTTTCTTAAAATTGCAAAGGAAACTATTGACATTTTCTGGTGGTTGTAGAAATTGTAAATGAATAATGTGTATAATAAAATTTTCAATTTCCTTAAATTTTACGTAGATTGACAAAAAATGAAATGAAAGAAGTCGTGAAAAAGATTTCCATTTTGGCGGGTGTTAGTTTGCACGGGAGAAACAGCTGTTTTTGGATGCAACACGTCTCTATGGGAATGTGGAGTTATATACCCGCTGTACCCTGTAACGTCCTCATTGTTCCTTCTTTCACACCTTTGTAATGAAATCAACCCTGTGACACCTTCTTTAGACCTCGCTCCCCCGGCCCAGTTTTCTTCACACTTATATCGACATTTAAAAATTAAATGTCCTTGCACCTTATTTTGATTAATTATCAATCCAATCATAACTAACGTCAATTTTTTTGTAGATATATTTCAGACTAAATCGCTTAAAAATTAACATTAATTTATTTGATAACCTCGAAGCAAATCGCATTAAATCTTTGTTAATTTATCAAATATTTGGAATTATCTCAGATTGTTTAATATAGTTTTTGGCTGAACTTTACTTTGCCGAACCAAAAATTATTGACTTTTTTATATTTTCTGGTAGATAGTATCACCGACGAGGTATAGGAAGACCTATCATCTTATGGGACCTATTATCTATATATCGACTTCGTGTCTCATGTTCTGAAATACCGATCGTGTAAAAAGTCAGGGATTTTCTGCTGCCCTCTACGTTATGAGAATGGTGAATTTGTGAACTACGTTAAATCCATTCGAGCTCAACTATGTAATCTAACTTCTACAGTGTTGTCGAGTCTAAAGTATGCAATGTTGTCAGATCATGAGTGTTCGGTACGTCAGAAAATCATCGAAGTGACCATGGTTGTGAACGGATTCTCTTCCGTCTGTTCGCTGTAAAGTAGATGTATTAGGAAGGAGTCTTGAGTTGTAGTCCCGACGGACCTATTTTTTTTCGCGTACAAAAAAGTTATTCCGTTTAATATTGTTTTTAGGAATACGTATATGTATTATTATGTACATTTGAGTAAATTATTTTATTATTCCATTATTATTGCAACAGTCTAACAGTGACAACGAATGCATGTATATTTTCAAATATCGGACAAATAGTATATTTTTATTCTATATTATTACATATAAGTGAGTAATGTGTATCAAAAACGTAATCGAAACACAGATTTTTATTACACCACAAACATCGCATAAAAGGTATTTCGTTATATTGACATTTGTAATAATTATGGATGTTGCAGGGAAATCAATATTATCGACATTATAGAACATTTTTTTGTCTGCAACCAATTTTGAAACGAACTACGTGATCATTTTGTCATACACAGGTGTTTAGAACTGGTGATGAATGAATTATTATTGTTAGTCTTGTTTTCTCAAAAGTGAATGATAAATAATAATAATAAATCGAAGAGATCGCTGCCGCATGTGGCAAACGGATTCTCCTTTGTCCGTTTGTTGTAAACGTATTAAAAAAAGGTCTCACTTTATATAAAGCAGGCTTAGGTATTTTTGATTTGAAATGAAAACTACAAATAAAAAGAGCCAATATTTATTCCAAATAAAATAAAAGATAAGTTTATTTGAAATAATAAATTATTTCAGAAATAAATTATTTCTAAATGATTTATTAGCGAAATATTTGGTTATTTAAAATAATAATGCAAAATAACAAATAATAGATTTTCGTATATAATGAATATATTTGTCATTGTAAATTAAAAAATATATGTTTGTTTAAATTTATGGAACAATACATAGATATACGTGTTCGTAATAGCATATTAAAAGTAATTAATTTACAGACAAATCCGACCCCGAACCTGCACAAGCTCGGTGAAATCGGTATGGAACACTTCGGAGTTTTATTTTTATTTTATTACTAATAATTCTATGATATGTGACGCGTGGGTCCGCCGGTAAGTGCGGATGGCACTCGGCAGGCCGGTAAAAGTGCGGGAAGCACCCGGCAGTGGTCTTCGTCGCGCCGCATTTCTCACAAGTACACGTTCCTAATCCGTTCATGTAAATACAAGTTCCAAAAACCATCCTCTATTCCGCGTGTCTCAGACGGACGCACAATATACGACCACGTGACTCGTGCCACTTACCTTCTGATCTCCCCGGACAGTTTCATTTTCAACGGCGGATCCTAGAGTCCGCCCTTCTACTCCATATTTTTTCTTCATACAACATGACTCAAATGTCGAATGCACTACATTCAATGATTCGATTACTCAGCATAAACCAGTAATGATGCGGCCTTCGGAGGGTGCTCTGCACCCGCCTAGACTTAAATTGTTAAACACATACATTCGGTGTAATATGAACCATTTCTAACATGGAATTGGAATTCGAGGTTGAAAGTTCTTTTTACAAGTTAATGTCTAGAGGGACGGCCGAAAACACAATAGGCAAGGTCTTCGTCGATGGCAGTAAGACGTTACAGGAAATCGGCGGGTGGTCGTCCTGCAGAAGACAAGAGGCAGTTTTATAATGTCCAGACGCGCGCTCCCTCGGCATCGTGGCCAAGTAGCCTCGAGGCCCCGAGTGGTGTATGAGAAAAAAATACAGATGTTGCTCTAAGAATATACGAAAAGAAACGCGACCTCCAAGACACTTTCCCATGCAGTTTTTCCTTCCCAAAAAGTATTGACCATGAAAGAGTGGGGATCGACCTATTACGCCACATCGATCCTAACGAGGGAGGATCAGTTCAACAATATCAGTCGTCCTTTCCGAACGGTGCCCTTTGCATTCTACGAGCAAATAGAGTTCATCTTCGGAAAACTAAGTTTTAGTTTATTTAGCGATTACGTAGTGATTATTTAGTAGTGTCGCGTATGTCGTCGTTATAAATAGTGCAAATTAATTATTGTAAGTCTTATTAATTATTGTAGGTTTTATTAAGTATTGTAGATTTGATTAATTATTGCAAGTTTTATTAAATATTGTAGATTTTATTCATTATTGCAGGTTTTAATAAATATTGTAGGTTTTATTCATTATTGCAGGTATTATTAAATATTGTAGGTTTTATTAATTATATCGTGTTAAAAATTAGTATAAAAGTTAGTGTTAAATAGTTTTAAATTAATTATTTTGAGTGTTAGTTTTGTGTAACCTATAGAGTGTTAAACCCAACGGAGGAACAGCTCGCGGGTCTACTTAATCGCGCAGTGTGTGAACATTTTTCGCGGTCGGGACAATCGCGCAGTGTGTATGGACATTTTTCGCGGACGGGACAATGGCTCAGTGTGTGTGGACATTTTTCGCGGACTTCTGTGGTGTACGTGCGTGTGCGGATTAATTTCATGGATACTCGTGGACAGGACAATTGTGATACGTGACAACTAGAGGGGGCATTAACCCTCTCTACTCGATAATATTCGTAAGAAGATATTTACATTTCTTGCGAATTTTATCGAGTAATCAGAGTTAATGCGATACAAATGGATTCGACTCAAATACCGCGGGCACAAGTTATCGACATCTTCTACGAGGTAAGTAAACAGCTGTTCTACCGACTGTTCCTGCACGTCGTTGAGTCTTTAAAGTGACTGTACGCCCCTGTTGAGCCGTGATCCGCTGACACTCCGTGCGCGCGGATTGCCATGATTTCGGTCAATTTTTAAACGCTTGTAACTAACAAACGAAGCATTTTTCGCAATTTCGTTATTCTTGATTTTCGTCTTATTTTACCTCAAAGAATCACCCCTTAAATTTTTTCCCACTAGTTGTCGAACACCCTGTATATTCCGGGTAATCCACATACGAAAAACATGGAATACTATACAAATCTCTTGTTGGAAATGATATTTATTTATTTTTTATTGACATAGTTGACGCAGGTGTTATATACTTACACAAATATTTCATAAAAGAGACACAAAAGGAACACAATTAATCGCATACGCTCTGTCAATCTTCCATTCGTCGCCCAGCGGCTATAGATTTTGTACTAACAACTGATTGCTGTCGCATGCGTACATTACAATTGTTGGAATAGCGAAGAAAATAGTAAAAAATAGTAAGAAGTCTTTTTTCATTTT